TCCTGTATGCTCACTTTGGGTTTGTCTGGTCTTATGTCTACATGTCTTAAATGTTGCTGTGCTACATTGTGTTTGGATTTACCCTTGTTGGATTAAACACTTATGATCTATAACCGTTCATCTTCATCGTGCTCTCTTTAACACAGCATAGCCATGACACTTACAGACTTACTGTGCAGGTTCCTGTCTCGGCTAAATCCTCCGTGTCCTCACCTGTTACCCTCTTGGGATCTCCCTTCGGTCCTGACGGCCTTGAAGGAGGAGCCCTTCGAGCCTCTGCAGTCAGTAGAGCTTAAATTTCTGTCGTTGAAGACAGCGCTCCTCACCGCTTTGGCCTCGGTCAAGAGGGTAGGGGACCTGCAGGCATTTTCGGTCGATGATTCGTGCCTAGAATTCGGAACGGGTAACTCTCACGTTGTCCTGAGACCCCGGCCTGGATATGTGCCCAAAGTTCCCACCACGCCTTTTAGGGATCAGGTGGTGAACTTGCAAGCGCTGCCCCGGGAGGAGGCAGACCCAGCCATTGCTAACGTCTCGGTTACTTGTGTAACCCTCGTTCCCTGAAGGAGGGAACGGAGACGTTACGTTCCGTCGCCACAGTTGCTGTACCACCGCTGTACGGCCGGGGCACGTAGTCTCGGCTCCTCAGCGAAAAACTGATGTGCGTTTGCACGCGCTCTCCTTTTATACCCGCGCTGCGGGGCGGGGTGCGCGTGGCGAAACACGCACGCCAACTGTCATTGGCTTGTTTAGTTAACACTCGAAGGTGATTGGGCTCTCGGGCGAGATCCCAATTCGCCAGTCACGACTGACGTAACGTCTCCGTTCCCTCCTTCAGGGAACGAGGGTTACACAAGTAATCGAGACGTTCAAACTTGTGAAGAACTGTTTTTAAAGTATTGGAATGTGTCTTTGAATACTTATCTGCGACATTTGGATTGCTGCTTGTGCAAAACTTGAGTCGGGATGATTTGACCAAGTAGGACACATTTCTGGAACTTATTTGAACATATGAGTATATGCATAACTCACTTAAGGCTTAGTGTGGCCCAGATAATGTATATTTATGCTTTATTTGGTTCATTATTAGCTAAAATGTGGCTGTGCAGTGGCCTGTTTGTGGACCACTGCCAAAATGCCACCATTCCATGCAGCATGTGGGCCACATGAGGAATGTGGGGAAGACCATGGGTTAGAATAAAAATCAACTGTGGCCCACATTAGGGCCACTTTTGGTTTATTTGGCTGGCTTACATGTGGCAATGCTAAGGCTACTTGAGGCCCAAATCTGGCAAACAGGACCGGACTGCCCAAATGCCATTAATGGATCTGGGCCAGAATTAAAATAAATGCGGCCCAGATTTGGGCCAGTTCTGTTTTGTTTTATTTATTTATTTGTTTGTTTGTTTGTTTGTTTGCTGACATGCGGCCTTCCTATGGCTTGCTTGTGGCCCAAATTTGCCAAACAGCAGTGGACCACCCAAATGCCATCATTCTACACAGTATGGGAGCTGGAGCAAGGTGTTGGATCTGGGCCAGTTCTGCTTTATTTGGTTTATTCATGGCTGACATTGGGCCTTCCTTTGGCTTGCTTGTGGCCCAAATCTGGCAAACATGAGCAGACCGCCCAAGTGGCATCATTCCACACGGTATGTGGGCCAGATGAAAGTGTCAGGTGTGGGCCTGATCTGGGCCTCAGGGATATTGCTATCTGGGCTGAGTGTGAGTTATTTTTCAGCAGATTTTCATTTTAGGGTGAACTATTCCTTTAGGAAAATTTAGCACCTAAAGAAATCAATGGCACAGTTAACAAACGTGTTTTTAATGTATATTCACATGAGATCCATATAGCCTTATTTGCACCTTCAGTGGACCTCATAGGTCTCTCACAAGCCTTTTCTTTCATTTTTAAGTGAAAATTGAACATGTTGTTCAAAGGATTACATGGAAAGGTCAGACTGCATTTTCCATATGACCTAGAATCATGATTAAAATTATTCTAGCCTTCGAATCCCCTTTGCCCTCAGTGTTATTACATAAATAATGGCTATGTTATTTACATGACCCAAGGACCTCTACCCCTGGGAATCATAAACCAATGGGTGTTTGACTGCTAAGCCGCTTAAAGGGAAGTTGGAATCATTTACTTTATGCAGCTGATGGGGCCTGAGCCAGAGCTGGTGCCATGGAGAATCAGATCTGTATGCTGGAGCTGTCACTGCATATGGAGGATATAACGCTTCAGGAATTTTATTTCAACGTTGTACATGTCTTTACTCTGTCAAATCACTGGTTTAATTTACAGTACTTGTGTAGTGAGGAGTAATATCAAACACATCATATATCATAAAACCACAGGGCAAAATGTCACAGATAGTTACTGGACTTTAGCACTAATAAACTCATAGTGTCAATTAAATCTGTGTTTAGGTCTGGAAAGTGTTCACGTATTTGTTGCATAGGAAATTAACATAAAATGGTAAAAAGGAGACTACATGGGAAATGAGGAGGTTAATTTTCTTTAGTGAAATGTATTACATTATTTAGATTTTCTGCACAATCAAATGCTAAAAATAATGCTAAAAAGTCAGGATCAGATTTTTTTTTGTTCTGTTTGAACACACCAAAAAATGCACACATGAAATATTGGTCTAAGCTGAAATTATCATATAATTTTATTTTAAAGCTTCCTCAAAAAAAAAAGTCCATTACTATACATAGCTTTGTCATGGACAATGGTGAATATAAGGAAACATCTTACAGCTGAATGCCACAACTGACCAACAAGAATATTCCATATAGCTGTGTAATAAATGAAAATATTCCATTCCTGGACGTGATAATGCTGATTCAGAAACCACTCTGATTCAGTGAGTTCATTCGGTGAAGGATTCATCAGACTGATTCAGTAAAAGGAACTTTTAAAGGACTGTCTCGAAAGAGTCATTTATTACTGAATCAGACTACATTAACTGCACCGAAAAGACTTGATTTATTTTCACTTGATTGACTAAAAGGAACTGTTCATGAATTGTTCTCCACAGGAACAAATGAGTCTAATAAATCGGTTCTTTTAGTGAATCAAAAACATACAGAGCACATACCTGCATTTGGCATTATGGTACATTTTATTTGCCTGATTAATGTTAAGTTATAAATCACTTTTATTTATCATTTGTAAGTCACTTTAAATAAAAGCGTCTGCTAAACGATATGTACATGGTCATCTTTTGCTATATCCAGTATCATATCTGGACTTATACTAACTGTGTACAGCTCTGTTGTGCTTCGTTGGTTTCAGTACGACCCCAGCGATAGTGGAAACTGCACAGAGATTAAATTTAGATCTTTATGGAAAGCACGTTCTTGCATAAGTGTCTCCTGGGGGCAGGGGTCATGGCAATGAGAATCCTTCATCAAACCTTCAAGAGTTGTAATCTTCTCTTTAAATGTGGTTCTTTAACCACAACAGATGCAATGGTGGCATCAAGGTCAATTTCCTCCGCAGCAGAAGTGGCAATAATATAATTCATCTCTTTTTGCTTCATGCATTTTTCTCAAATCCACCGTTTCTGCTCATCAACTCGGCTCAAGTGGGTGCTGATTGGTTCAGACAAACGCAATTTGTGCCACCGTCTCATCGCGCTTGTAGTATGCCCCTGATGTGAACTTAATTTCTTTAAAATGCTCAATGTCTTGCTTCATTCTGATTTGCCTCTCAATCATCTTGTAGAGTACCACCTAGTGTCTTATTGAGCAGAATTGTAGAAAAACAAGCTTGAGGCGAGTTCATGCATCTGCAGTATATAATGATTTTGGTAAAGAAGTTGCTCTTGTAATTTATACACTTTGTGAGATACACTCTTAAAAGTAATGTTCTTTATTGGGATCTGTGGTTCTGATTAATATCCATGAAACCGTTTGCACACACGGTTCTATATAATGGAAGAAGGTTCTTTAGACTAGTTCTTCACACTAAGAAAAAAACGGTTCTTATAAGAACTGTTTCACGAAAGGTTGTTTGGGGAACCCAAATTGGTTCTTTAATAATTGTTAAAGTAAAAAAATGTTGTCATTGTTTACTCACCCTCATTTTGTTCCAAACCAGCAAGGCTTGCTTTCTACTGTGGAACACAAAAAGAGATGTTGATACTGAACGTTTAAGTTGTTAGTCAATGAAAATCTTTTCCTCTGACTGTCAAATTTCATTGGTGTGTAAATTTGGTGCATCACATTCAGCGAAAATACTCACATGAATCAATGCAATTTGGCATCATTGATGTCAAACCTGGTCTGACATGTTTGGATGTGCCATATTTAATATACATTCAAACAGAGCGAGGTTTGAGAGCTGTGGTGAAGAAAAAGATTAACACTGAATTGATTTAAATTTAAATCTAATCATTTCAGAAGAACTGGAATGTAGCGCATAAGAATGGACTATGATTTTATGGTGTTAAACATCAGATTTTGACTAAACATCTTTTGAGTTTCATGGAAAAATGTCATACAGGTTTGGAACGATCAGTGTTAGTTTTGTTCATTTACTATCATAGCTAATATTATGAATTAGCTTTTATTTTAATTTTACTTTTAGTTTCATTTTTAGTAATTTGGTTCTGAAATTCTAAAGTTCTAAATAGTTATTTTCTTTTTTATAGAAAGGAACTATTTGGAATATAATAGTTATACTGTTGTAAACTATTATAATGGTTCTTTTTTTTTGTTTGTTTTATTTTGGTTAGTAATTTTAGTACTTAAACTTATTTCAGTTAGTTGCCAAGGCAAATTTGAATTTAATATCTGTTTGATTTTCAGCTTTATTTCAGCTAATATAATAGTTTTAGTTAAAGATAACCACAGTGGGAAAGACGTGAGAAATGATGTCAATGATTTTGCAATTTAATTTGGCAATGCTAGTATTCCAAAATCACAAACGTCAGCTTTACTGTAATTCACAATCTTATCAAAATGTCTTATAGCTATTTGTTTGATTGCAGGTATCTTGGCATCACCCGCCCTTTGACCTACCCTGCTCGACAAAACGGCCAGCTGATGGCAAAGATGATCTTTGGTGTGTGGCTCGTGTCCGCCTCAATCACCCTGCCGCCGTTCTGTGGCTGGGCGAAGAACGTTAACACAGCTGGCGTTTGTCTAATCAGCCAGGACTTCAGCTACACCATCTACTCCACCGCCGTGGCCTTCTACATCCCCATGATCGTCATGCTCTTCATGTACTACAAGATCTTCAAGGCCGCCAGAAAAAGCGGCGCCAAGCATCGTTTTACCGACTTCCCACGTCGGGATCGTCTGGAGACCGTCGCCAGCGAGGCTCTCAGGATGCAAGGCCTAAAACCCCAACACACGCCTGGCGTAGCCGAGGAGTGCGCTGCTCTTTCACGCTTGCTCAGCCGCGAGCGACAGAATATCTCCATCTTTAAGCGAGAGCAGAAAGCAGCTACGACATTGGGTGTGATAGTTGGAGTTTTTGGCATTTGTTGGCTGCCGTTTTTTATTCTATCTACAGCAAGACCATTTATATGCGGGGTCAAGTGTAGTTGCATGCCAATTTGGCTGGAGAGGACGCTGCTGTGGTTTGGATATGCCAACTCGCTAATGAACCCCTTTATTTACGCTTTCTTCAACCGGGACCTGCGGTCCACATACAGAGACCTGCTCCGCTGCAGGTACCGGAACATAAACCGCCGACTGTCGGCTGTAGGTGTGCATGAAGCACTGAAGGTTTAAAAGGATGTGGTTTGGCCTGGATTTGGTTTACACATAGTTCAGACAGGACTGAATCACGGTCAATCGAGTAAGACTTTGAAGCCGAACAATGTGCACTGATACATCCGCTTATGGGATTGTTGTAGGGACGGTGTGAACAAAAGACAGAACCACAGCCTCATACTTATTCAGAACACTCATATTTCAGTTTCATTCAGATATTTGGTCAAATTCAGCACGGATTATTGAGACATGTGAGTAAAACTTTGATGAATTAATTTATTATTAATTTAATTTTTATGTTTTTCTTTTAATGTTATGTATATACATAACATTACTGTTAAAAAGTTTGGGGTCTGTAAAAATGTTTGAAGAAATTACAGTTTTTATTTATTTAATTGCAAATTAATAAATCTAATATCTTTACTATTTAAAAAAATTATATTGTTTTGAAATTTCTATTAATCAAAAAATACTGGAAAATAAATGTCAAATATTCAAGAAGCACAACTGAATCAAGACTGGAATAATGGCAGCTGAAAATATATTAAAACAGAAAACAGCTATTTTACAATTTTTCACAACATTAGTTTTCTGTATTACTCTGTATTTCACCAAATAAATGCAGCCTTGGTGAGCATAGGAGATGTTCTTTCAAAAACATTAGAAAAATTACCAACCCCAAACTTTTGAACAGTTGTGTATATATTTTAATCTACATCAAGTATTGATTTATGGTCTTAAGACAGTGAGTTATAATTGAATTTGATACTTTTTACTAAAATAGTACCTTTATGTAAAGAACAGTGGCTATTGGCTGTTTTCATAACTAATGAAAACATGTTCATGTTTTGGCTTCATCTCTGAAGAATCAAATGAGAATCAGTTATATATTTTCATTTTGAAATATGAAGTAAATTCTGGTAGGGACACTTTAAATAGTAAAATGTGGCCTTTATCAACCCTATGTTCATTAAAATAGTGATATCCTAAAATATCGTTCTATATATTCACGACAGTACATGCGTGCTATTTCCGTCTATAAATTCAGAGCAATTAGCTAATTTTTGCTGTCATAAAGTGATAGGATGTGATTATAGGGATGCTCCAGTCCTGGCTGTTATAGTCTCAAAGCTGTTAATTTTCTCATCATAACAATAGATTCCGCAATGTGGAATAAAAGTGTAAATCTTCACACTTTGTGTTTAGCCAGTCACTGGTTCTTTCTCTGCATTGAGCAGAGATCATGTTGTTTTCCCTCCACCTGTGAGTGTTCTGAGAAAGTATGCAGCCACCTTAAAGCAGATGTTCTGTACATATCTGGCAACCGAGTCTCCAGAGGAAGAAAAATAAGGGCTTGTGGGCAGTTGTCACTATGACGCTTGACTGATATTGGAAATCCATCGGAACGTGTTTGTGTGTGAGCATGAATCCCTGTCTTGAGACAACAAGAGACAGGACACTCACCTTGCTTTTCCGATGACTGAGTCCATCTATTTTAAGAACTTTAAGAACATGGAAGAGCCGGCTGTCTTTGATGGAACATCTGACTCCGCGAGCCATTGTGCATATGCCGTGATCTGGCATTGTCAATTTTGTACCCTTTTTTGACCTGATGTGGCAATTGAAAAAGACTTTCAATGCCTTTAAGTGTCTCTTCAACCATGAATGACGAAACTCACGGTAAGAAACATTGACCGGGGACTGAATTCTTGTGAAATCTTGTGTTAATGACTCCTAAGAGATAAATTATTGACTGAGCAACTCAAAGTGGTTGTTTACACACAAGAGGAGAAGTGTTCTTGATGTACAGTTCTATATGTATGTTGCCAAATCTTTGTGAGAAGCTTACAAAGTGTTTTCTGTCACAGATTTTAACCCTGCACCAGAAACGTCGAAATTGCTTGTGCATTTTTGTGTATTACCTTTTCCCACAAGGACTACACTACATGTTTTGCCAAGATTGTTGATGTCAAAGCAAAAAGGAAAATGCAGAGTTAAGAAATGAAATAAATTAGAAAAAAAAAGAAAAGAAAATGAGGTACTGATTTGACAATTTTGGCATTTTAATGAAGAAATTCTCATTCCAATCAGACAGATGCCCATCAGTCAACATATCTGTGGGTTGTACATGATGCACTACATGACACGAATGGCTAGATATTGAACAACCTTTGTATACCTTGCATACATGAAGATGCATTTGTGCATGCTTGCCAGAAACCAAAGGCTGTCAGTTGCTAATGTGATCTAAATTGATTATATATTGGAAACACTTTTTTTGCTGAAAATTTGCTGAAAATTGACTCACACTCAGGCCATCCAAGTTGTAAATTAGTTTGTTTCTTCATCGGAACTGATTTGGCGACATTTAGCATTCCATCACTCGCTCACCAATAAAAACAAACTCAACTTGGATGGCTTGAGAGTCGATTTTCAGCAAATTTTCATTTTTGGGTGAGCTATTCCTTTAAGGGTGCTTTCACACTACAGCTTTTGATGCAGACCCAAATTTATTTGACTTCAGAGTTCGGTTTGCAAATTGAAGAAACTAACAAATGGCTTCCTTTCAGTTCATTAGCTGGAATTCGAATTGGCCACAACACACAGGAAGTTAAATGATGAGAAGAGAAATGTACTGAATTGAAATTCAACATAATGCATTCCAAGAAATGAAGTGCTCTTCCATGTTCAGTCACACGCACTACAGAATAATGCATATCTAATTGCTGTTTAGATGTTTCTGAATAAATTACAGTCGGAAAGCAGCTCGCATTTGGAATATCTCTTGCTAAACATTTCTGGCAGATTCAAGCGCTGTATGCCTTATTCTGTACATCTAAACCTTTGGTGTTAAAACTACAGGGACAGTTGCTTACAGTGAGACTGGGATCAATCTCCCAAGTCATTATCTAGCTACTAGTTACCTCTTGTACTCCCTGTTATTTATATTCACACTAATGGTGTAAACACACTGTAATTAGGACCAAAAACTGCAATGGAAAATGCGGGCTCGTGTTCAGGGCAAACATAAAAGAACCAAGTATAAAAAAATCTAATAATAGACAGAGGATCACAGTGCTCATGCAGCAGATCATAAAATACAGCATACAGTGAAAGTGTTATACTGTATTCCATACAGTGCCAAGGCCGTACAATTCAATAGCTCTGAATAGAACAACACTGAGCAGAAGATGGAGGAGGACAAAACATGATTGATGTACAGCAGCCTAAGGCATGCCATTATCAGGTAAAGTGCTGGTACTTAGGGTAATATTAGCCATGTGCAGTTGCCTGGAAATAAATGGTTTTGAACCTGACGACCGGTGTTTAGATGCTGCGCCGTACAGCCATATTCTCACTATCAAGAGAATAGTTTGTGAGGAGGAACAAGGGACTGTGGGTAAAATCTTTTTTTTTTTTAGACTGCAACAACACTATCATCTGTGTAGTGCCATAACTTGGATGGCGAACGGATGGATCATTTTTGTGCCTGCCAAAAGTTGTAGCTCCCATTTATCTCCCAATTTATATATTTATATTTTAACAAAATGCGACTTAAGAATAATAAATGAAAAGGTTTCCTTTTATTATTGCTTAGACAAAATTCACATTTCTTTGTGAAACTGAAATATCTCAAATAACATAACTAAACTGAAATTTATTTATATCAAATTAATAATACAAATAAAATAAATCTCTTCATAGAAACAAACTAACGTATTTTAATCATGATCCAAACAAAGATGCTGCACACATGCAGCATGAGCAGTTTTTAATTTAAATTAGATAGTATAATTTCGAAATCTGAAGCAAAAACAGAATGGTCTGACTTATGTTTTATGTAGTTTAGTTTCACAAAACACATCTGCACAAAACAGAAACAGCAGACGGGCTGAATGAAAAAAAGGTGCAATAGTTGATCGTCTTCAAACATTTTTTGTTATGCTGGTTGAAAGTCTCTTCACATCCCGATAGCAATCATTAAGTTAAGTGGTCTATTTAAATGTATTTATATATCCTGTGGAAGGCGTAGGACCAAGAAATGTTCGTCCAATCAAAATGCTCGGAACGAGCATTTTGATTGGCTTTCCTACCTGCCTGTAAACACATGTATTTGCATACCTCTGCGCACCCGGTTCGCGCAGACAAAATACGTCATCAGCGCGTTCACGTACGCTGTGACAGACAGAGCGAGAATGGCAGGCAAACATCAACAACCTGATCTTCCTTCCTGGTATTGTAGTAGTTACTAACTACTATGAAGTTTTCTCACCGGTGAATGGCACATGATGTATTGTAGTAATGTTGTCTCTAGTCGTTTGGTCTGTGTGTGCGTTCAGGGGGTATGGCTTTGGACGACGATTTGCAGGGAGGGTGGGGCGTTCGCTTTCAGCGCTATCAGGCTAAAGTTAGCATTTTCCAAGATCTCCTACTGCACCTTTAAAGTATGCATTATGCAGAGGCAAGCTGTGGAAGGCGTAGGACCAAGAAATGTTCGTCCAATCAAAATGCTCGGAACGAGCATTTTGATTGGCTTTCCTACCTGCCTGTAAACACATGTATTTGCATACCTCTGCGCACCCGGTTCGCGCAGACAAAATACGTCATCAGCGCGTTCACGTACGCTGTGACAGACAGAGCGAGAATGGCAGGCAAACATCAACAACCTGATCTTCCTTCCTGGTATTGTAGTAGTTACTAACTACTATGAAGTTTTCTCACCGGTGAATGGCACATGATGTATTGTAGTAATGTTGTCTCTAGTCGTTTGGTCTGTGTGTGCGTTCAGGGGGTATGGCTTTGGACGACGATTTGCAGGGAGGGTGGGGCGTTCGCTTTCAGTGCTATCAGGCTAAAGTTAGCATTTTCCAAGATCTCCTACTGCACCTTTAAAGTATGCATTATGCAGAGGCAAGATAAAAAAGACAATACCATTAAACATTTCTACAGACAGTAAGTTTCCCTCAGACACATTCATACCCAACCCCAAATGTATCACGATTCGTTTAGCATCTCAACCGATTTGAATTGTCACATATTTGTATT